TTTTTAAAGATTTTATTTATTTGAGAGAGTGCGCACGTGCACGCAAGTTGGGGGGCAGAGGGAGAGGGAGAAGCAGACTCCCTACTGAGCAGGGAGCCAGAAGCAGGGCTCCATCCCAGGACCCCTAGATCATGACCTGAGCCAAAGGGAGGTGCGTAACCAACTGAGCCACCCAGGCGCCCCTAGCACTTTACATTTAAGTGCTCATGGATATTAATAGATAAAATAAGTACATAACTTGGGGGATGATTTTGAGGGTATTCAGTAGCAGAGTTTTTTAACTAGTGGAAGCTGTGTAAAGATTAGGTCAATGTCAAATTCAAAACAGGGCTAGCTATTGACAAAAAAAAAAGTACCACTTGGAACTCTGGAACATGTAGCAAGTATAAATACAAATTTTATAGAAGGCAGAAATTCATTCAGGAGAGCCATAAGGAGTGAGTTATAGCTTATGTTTGTCCCTTGGGTGAATTAAATATGTATTTTTTATGCCTTTACAAAGATATTAGCCAAAATAAAGGTATTTTCATGCCAGTTGGATTAGAAAATGAGATTGAATTATTTACCTTCATGTATGTTGTTACTACAGTAAATCCTGTATTAGTATTTTTGAACAAACTTGTCATTTTAAGATAGCAGTGTTTTTTTAATGTTTCCCCAACTAGCTTTGTAAAATCACCAAATGAGGTAAACGATGATTATTAAACTTCATGAAATACACAGACCAAATGGACTTCAACTGGTTTTTACTCTCCCCACCCCCCGTCAGCTTCTACCTGCAGAGGTAGTTAATTTTTATGATCCTTTTAGGGTCTGTATGTTCGGTGTAAAGAAACTAATGGTTTTTCTGTACTCGAATCCAAATTAAATGCAATCTCTAATCAAATACAGTCCTAAGGAAAGTTGACCAACAGAGCACCAGTGGGACTGATATTTATTCTCGAGTGTGTTGGAAGCGTGGGCTGCAGAAGGCACAGACCATGGGGTGTTAGGAGGAGGCGAGTCTGGGCACTGGAAAACCTGGGTTCTCACCTCCCAGTGCTGCCACAAAGCTGCCGCGAGGCCCATTATCTCTCTGAGCTCAATTTCCTCATCTGGAAAACGAAGAGACCAGAACTGCATGCCTGCCAACATCTCTTCCGGTTCGGCCAATCTTTGTTCTAAAAGACGAGCGTGCGTCATCAGCCCGAGCGCGCTACCACCGGGAGCTAATGAAGATGGCATAATTGAACTTTCTCGATCGCTGTGAATCTACAGGTGCTCTGGGTTTTATCATCCTAGTGATGCACCTGTGGCTTCTAGTGATGAAGACGGGAGTTACGTGTGTACATGATCCTGTTGAAGTGCAAGGTTAGGAGAGTATCTGAGAGAAGGAGAAGATGAGGAGAAATCACTTGACCTCGAAGGTGGAAGAGACACAGGTTCACATCTTCCTTTGCCTTTCCCTCGTTGAGGGCTTGGCCCAACTCTCCTCCTCAGGAGTGCCGTAGTTTCCTCCTGTGTTAATGAGGGCAGTTTCTCGGGTTCTGAGGCCAGGGGGACGGATCGGTGGGCGAAGAAATCAGAGCTAACAGAAAAGCCCCATTCTAGAGGGAAGCTTCTCACCATCACACGTTGCATCGGAGTGAGTAACAGAGTAGTTACATGCAACTCGTTCTTTCTGTCCCTTTCCTGTCAGCACAGTGGCCGGGGAAGTGGGGATTCCAAGAGATAGGCTGCAGAGAGAGAGAGAGAGAGAGAGAGAGAGAGAGAAATCAGAGGCCTTTGGTTAATTAAGAGTAAAGTGAGTTGTGAGTGGGTCGGTTGGTGGTTCTGATGGCACCGTAATGTGACAAATTGTATTCTATCTGGGAGAAAAAAAAGCTGGAAAAACGTCCTAACTTGCTATGAGGGAGAGAGGCCTCCAGTTGAGCTTTTTGGCTCCATCTTCCAACAGGGAAGTGGGTTTTCACACTGATAGGACCAATTCCCCCAGTCTCCATCAGTGTGAATAAATTTGAATTGTTTAGCCCAATCATATGGTGATTAATTCACATTTCTGGCCTGAGCATTTCTTCATGGGCCGTGGAGCCCTTCCTTTCTCTGGAAAACAAGGCCAGGAGTGTACAAGGTCCATCCCATCATCGGGGGACAGCCATATGCTTTCCTGTGGCCCCCACGGCGCTCACAGGTTCAAATGCAACCTGCCTGAATCATAACTTTAATTGAGTAGATAAAGAGGTCCTCATAATTATAAACTGCAGTAGGTATAACAAGAGGCTAAATACATAGCTGTGGTTTTAATTAGCTGGTGCTTCAAATTAGTAATTTTGGTTTCAGTCAGAAATCGGTGACGTTCTACACTGTGAAAGCCTCATCACCATGTAGTTCATTCCCCATTATACCTTGCCCTGTGAAGCTTTCAATACAACGCCATGCTGAGCGAAAGAGGAAGAATTTGGAGCGATTTGGTTGCCTTCCAAGAGCAGTGGTACTCTGTGGAGATTCAATTCATTCTCGCCAGAGATATGAGAATTAACTATTCTTTGTTACATGTGTTAAAAAATGCAGCAGGCAGTTTGTTTGCAACAGATAACACCCATGTGCACACTCAGTCTGCTATTCACATTTTCATCTGGAATTTGGTAGCTAATGAACAAATGAGGAAAATGGAGACAAGAGCCTCCTCACAAATTAAGCCCAGGTCGAAAGTGCCCAAAGTGCCCTGGCTGCTGGCCGCGCGGTGTCAAGCAAGTTGAAACACATTTCCTTTTCTTCTCCTCCTCCTCTTCCTTCAGGGTTTTAATTATATCTTTCCCTCGGAGGAGAAGGAAGGTAGTTTGCAAAGCCAAGAGACCAAAGTACTTTGGTTCTCTTCATGGGAGAATTAAATGTGATCTATGGGTCTGTCGTTCCGGGCTGTCAGGTGCACCGAATGAACAGATAGCTAGAGAACTGACATCTTGCTCGCATTCCTCAGAAGCACGAGAGCTGGGCTCTTGTTTTTGTGTGGAGACTCATCTGCTGTGGCAGGCAAAGAAATGAAGTGTCTTCCTTTGCAACAAACCTTCCTGGCGCCCCCACTAAATATTGCTTTAACCTGTTGGTCTGTCTCCACCCCTGACGCCCTTCTCTTTCTTGCACGTGGACACACCGAAGATGGGCTTGGGTGACGCACGGCCACGTACGGCCAGTGCATGGTGCTCAAGCCTGATCTTGTGCTCCGTGTGCACGGTCTGAAGATGTGACTGTGTCTGCTTGGTCGCACGTCGGCCTCCAACATAAAGAGGTTGTGACCCACGGCAACCGTGTGGGGTTCTGATCTCAGCCTGCAACCGGCGAGATGATGCGAGCAAGTGTCACCCCTGCGGATGGTGTCTGAGGCTCCGAAGGATAGGCTGCCTTCCAGGATCTGGACTTGGCATCTTTTTGGACCAGACGGGGCCCAGATGTGGGGTCTGGGCTTTGTGTAGTGCTCTGGAGCTTCTTTGTTTTCCCCAGATGGTGATAACATTCGCTGAGCGCCCTCGTGCCTGGCCCAGCGAGCTCCTCCGTGTCTGGCATTGTTTGTATCGTGAAAGCATAATGCACATCTGAACATCCTTTAAATGTCGCCACTTTTTTTAAATCGGAGAAATGAAGTGGTGTTGATTCAGAAGATAAGGCTATCAAAGTCACTTTGAATCTGTCAGTTCAAGGATTCCTGTGGAGAAAGGGGAATGATTAAGTGTAGTGGCATCTCACACTCCATGTATATCAATATCTAGTTAAGCTGCCATGGATATTTCATGCTCTGGGCTCTTATTTTGTAAATTAAAAGTTACGGTACTCATGAGCAAACTAGGCGACCAAGGATAGGCATTGAGTTCTGGGATGTATTCAAAACCTGTTGACTATATACTCTTTTATCAGTGTATCTCTTGTAATTCCTTTAGCTATTATGTTCATTTGCATGCCAATTATCTAATTAAGTCGTAACATGGCAGTATTAACATGTACCTGCTAGGCATTTTACATACGTTTATATAATTTAAATTTGCCTTGCATATATGTGCTCACTTCAGGTAAGATTTCGATCAAAAGCAGGGGAAAAGAAAACCCAATGGACAAAATAAAATCCACCACTTTTGAGACTTACAGATTATAAGGTAATACGCACATTCTTGCCTGATTCTTCGTCAGGAAGCATTTCATTCTATAAAATCCCAGGGTCCAGAGTATACGTTAGATATTGCCTGGAGGCTTCTGTACTGATCCGCCAATGGGAGAGCCTGAAACGCGATGAGTCACAGAGCTACACAGCGTTTATAAAACATGTGTGCCTTAAGCTCATTCGAAGCTTTTGACACTTTTCATTGTTAGCTGTTTGCCATTCAAGCCAGACACCTTTCTTTGTGAAGAGTTTCCTAAAGAGGCTGTCAGTCTCCCATGACACAGACTATGAGAAGAGCAAAGACACCACCACCACAAAAAAGGAGTGTGAGCGAATGAGCGGTTCGTTGTTTTGTAGACTTCCAAAAATGTCGGTAAACTGTCCTGTGATTTTGTTACAACAGGCTAACTCTGGCTGTGGGCTCAGGACAGACTTACAGTTGGTCTGCGACATCTTGGTTAATTCCTTTCCTTTAGGACTTTGTGTGACATCTGTGAATTCTGAGCCCTAAGCAGTTGGCAACACAAAGCAACTTGAATTCAGTACTTTTCTGCACAATGGACTGACTCTTGGGGAGCCCGTAATTGCCTGTGGCACTCAAGCACGGACAAGGGAAGAGGATCCTGGAACATTTAAGTGGGCATGAGTATGGTTTCTAATAAGCACCTTTCCATGTTCTTCTGTATTCCAAAGAACTGGTCAGGATCTTAAACCCCTTGGGAGTCAAGAAAAGGTTTCTCCGCTCCCTCTTCGGTGTATCCGTTTGGGTAGCCTTGGCTTGTATTGTTTTTCTTCTTAGTGATAACAAGGGAGATCTGAATGACATGACTAATTAATCTCTTTCTCCTTTTTTTTCTTTTCCTATTAGTCACTATGAACAAGACCGTAGTGCACTTAAAAAAAGGGAATGGGAGCGGAGGAATCAAGAAGTCCAGCAAGAAGACGATCTCTTTTCTTCAGGCTTTGATCTTTTTGGGGAGCCCTACAAGGTAGCTGAATATGTATGTAATTTATCTTTCTGGAAAATGGTTGCTTGTTACGTTTTTGAACACATTAATCAACATTTAATCTATTTTTAAAGCACCCAAATCATTTCCAGGAGAATATATTTGACAAATGAAATCTATACATACACTGTATGTGGGGCAATTGCAGCTTTCTGAAGAAGTCTTCAGAGACAAATCCTGTCTTCTTTGGGGAGGACGGTTAGATTTCAACGGGACTAGTGAGACTTCCTATCTCTAAGGAGTTCTCTCTGGCCCAGCACTTCCTGGAGCAAGCAATGGCCCTTGACGCGTTTCCCCACCTTGGCTGTTGGCAAGGCAGCCCCTGAAGACTTCATCAGAAGGTCAATGGCTGTGTCTCTTTCTCTCCCGATCAGTGCCATCCCCTGCAAGCGAGGCCACCGCTTTCCTTTCCCATGTTAGGTTGTTAGCAGTGTGGAGTGGTTTGAGTGATCTTTGAAAATCCTTGTTCTAGGAGAAAGGGAGAAGCCAATCATTTTTTCCTGGTGGTTAATCATCCTGGATGAGGAGATTGCCTCAGCTGGGGGCGGGGGGGGGTAGGTAGTGTAGCCAGGTTGATCGCCTGGTGGTGTTCTAGCTAGTTTGTAGCTCCAGTAACACTCCTACTGCTCTGTCTGCAAGTACTGATTTCACAGTGACTGCCTCTGAACTTTCTATTCGGGGTGGGGCTCGGGGGAAGAATCTTGGGGAATTGCTGGCAGCTGGTTGGTGTTTACTGAAATTTACTAGCAGTGTAATTTTCCATAATGAAACAAAATGATGTAAGAGTTAAAACAACAATAGAGGGAAATTTCTGAGAGTCGTGCTTTTAGAAGGGCACCAATTAGGGGACAATGACTTGGAAAAGGAAAGGACAGCATCGGCACAAATACCACTTTGGGGTAGAGAGGAAGCTGTTTGGCTCGGTGACCACTGAGCCCAGAGTCTTGCTGCCTTGTTCATGATAAGTGAGCAGCTCTTGACTGAGACTCGAGTGCCTTCCGAGTTCGGTAAGTCTGACCGAGAGAGTTAGGTCACCTCAACTACTACTTTCCAATTTGTCAATAATAGTATAGTCCTTAAAAAAGGATTTCTCCTATCTCAATTGACTTAATTTACATACTGCCTTTGAACACGTGATATGATGAGTTTGGCGAACATTTGTTGAAGGCCCACTACGTGCTAGTCACTGACGAATGCACAAAGAGGAGTAAGACCTCATCACGAGTGACGGAAGGCATGAGTGCAGGGCAGCTGTCACAGAGGTAGGCAGGGGAGAGGTTAGGGGAGACTTGGTACCTCGTGCCAAGGAGTTTGGACACAATTCCGTACACGAAGAGAAGTCACTGCAAGCTTTCAAGTAAGGGCGTGGCCAGGACAGACAGAATTTTGAAGATGATGCTGGCAATGTGGTGAGTTGGTTGGAGGTGAGGCAAACGAGAAGGCAGATAAAGAAGCTTTTGTAGTTAGCTAAGGGGAGTTCATGGCAGGGAGGATTTAAGGCAGCGCAAGGAAATTGACATGATGAGACTGGGTGTCTGACTGGCTGTGGAAAAGGTGGGACAGGAGTGAATGAGTCCCGTATTTTTGACTTGAGAAGATGGCAGTCTCGTTAACAGGTTGTTCAGGAGGAAACAGGGTTGGTGCTTGCAAAGAGAAAAAAAAAATTCTGTTTTGAGCACATTTGGTTTGAGATGCCGGTGGGATATGAAGAGAGACCTATCCGGTAGGCATTGGGTGTAGGAATCTGGAGCTAATGAGAGCGCTCAAGAGAGAGAGTTAGGTGTGAGCAGGGAGGTGGCAGTGGAAGCCTTCAGATTACTGAGTAAGAAGGACAAAGAGAGAATCTTGGGGAGCAGCAACATTTAAGCAGGTGGCAAAGTAGGCGCCAGGAAAGGAACCAACAAAGGAGTGAATGATCACAGAGGTAGGAAGAGAACTAGGAGAGAAACATTTAATAGAAATCAAGGGGATACAGGGTTTCATGGAGGAGGGCATTGATAGTTATTTGTGTTCGAGAGGGCAGGAAAGGTCAGGACTGGAAAGTGGCTGTTGGATTTGGTAGTTAAGGGGGGGGGGTGGGAATCAGTGGCCTTAGGGAGAGTTGTTTTATTTGTTGATGGTGGTGCTCATTGTGGGAAGTGAACTGCCTGGACTCCGTAAGTAAATGGGAAGCGAGTTTTTGTTTGGAGGCGGGGGGAAGAAAGGAAGGTAGGTTAGAACCTGAGGGGAGAAATTATATGGAAAGAGGGTTTTTTTTTTTTCATAATGGGAGAAATGTGAACATGTTTGTGGAGATTGATGGGAAGGACCCGATGTCAGTCAAGAGGGAGAGGGTAAAGGGACCGGAGGAAGAGGTGATGATGAGTGGGGCAGAATCCCGGAGAAGATGAGCAAGCACAAAATCAAGAGCATGTGAAGAGTGACCAGCCATGGCAAGATGTTGTGGCCTCCATTTTTTTCCAGAAAATGGAAGAGAGGTCAAAGAATGATGGATGCCTTCTCCCTTCTTGAGAAAGAGGAATGACCAGATGAGTTTTACGTCATCTTTGGATGAGTTAGAAAAATGAGCTTAACTCAAAGAGTCATTCTTAAAGTTCAAACTCTACTCCATGCTCAATGCTATTACCATGATGAGGTGTAGAACCCTTGGTTTATCCTCTCTTTATAACTTTAAGTCATGTTGAATTAATGGTCTTGTACCTTTAAGGTAAATGCCATCTCTTGTTAACAAGGCCTGCAATATAGATGCATATTTATTTTTAGATATCAGCAGTGTGTTTTTGAGCAGGCAATTAAAAAAACCTGTGATCAACATTGCCAGAAGGTTTCAGAAGTCATCTGTCTTGCTATGACAAGGGTGTATCAGGTAGAGATGCGAGGTGGGAACTTTCGTCTAGCTCAGGGCCAGGCTTATTGTGTGATTAGTTGCCAGTTGCCTTTATGTTTCTTGATGGGGAAGAGCTGTTGTTCTTCAGTCAAGACTGTATAGGAGAGGAATAAAGCTAACAGTTGATGACCTAGTGATTCTCTTTCTTTCACCATTGCTTTGGTGACCAGCTGCCATCTTATGCTGTGTCCGTGTTCAGGATCCCCTGGGAGATCACTGGAGAGTTTGCCTTTCCTTCCCCCTCCCCCATATTATGATACTAGGACTGATGTTCACTTTCGTCAGCTCCCTAGACCTGGACTGGTGTGGACACCCTTGGAGTATCTGGACACACCAGTGGCAGTGGGAATTTTAGAGCTGGCCCATGGTCCACTGGTAGAGACAAGGACATACCCCAACCCTTCCTTAGGGTTGTGGTGGGAATGCTTATCAAATTAAAGATCAAAACTCCTGGTGGTGGATCAGGACTTTCAGGAAACTTCTTGCCACCCTAAAGCCTAAAACGTGGCCTGATCAGTTATCCAGTAGTGTTGGTAGTTTGTGAAGTAGCCAATGAGCATCGGTCCCTAAGACCCACTGCCCTTTCTTGGCAGTTAGAAGAAATGGTGATCTCTCATCATCCTGGCTGGTTTCTTCCCATTCGTTGCCTCACCCCTACCATTCCCAGAATGGAAAGAATGTTGACCACCCCTACATTTGGTTGGTGATGGGGAACTTCTCTGTGAGGCTGCTTCTGTTGCTTATAACTTTCAAATCTGACTTTGTGCTATGGTGTTGAGAAGGATGTCTTCAAAAGCACTTGAAAAATGTGAAGCTGTTTGACATGTCTAGGCTAGTGTGGAAAGACTGGGCGGGTTGAGGAACTGGTGTGTAGCAAGTGCCTGCTGAATGCCAGGCACATGCCAGGGCTTTCTATGTGCCTGTTTAGTCCTTATGACAACTGGAGTACTCGTTTTCCTCATGTTGCCCACGAAGAATTTGAGGCTCAGAGAGGTGAAGTGGCTTCTCTGCAGCTTCATATCTGTGCCAGTGGTGAATCTAGAACCCAGTTCTGTGGTTCAGTACCTGTAACAGGAAGCTGTTTCTCCTCCCGCAGGAGGTCAGAAGACCTTTGATAAGCTGACCTACCTCCTGTGTGACTTTGGTGAAGAAACTTCATTTCTCTGACCTATAGTTTCCTCCTTTCGGAAGTGAATAATAATACCTGATTTGAAGTAATCCCTGATAATAATAATAGGGCAACAACAGCAACTGACATTTTATAGCTCTTTGCACTGTACGAGAATGAGGAAAACGAGGCACAGAGGGATTAAGTGGCTTACCCAAGGTCACTTGGGTTGGGGAGGTAGAAGCCAGACTGAGATCAGAGCTGCTCTGCTGACTCACATGGTTGTTGTAAGGATCAAGTCAAACGAGCCGGGAGACCTTGCTTTGAAATCTGGAAAGTGCTGTACAAGTTTGAGATATTATCGTTATTATAATTAAAGAAAGAAATAGCAACTTACAGCTTAGAGAGATTAACTGTAAAAACATTACAATTAGGAAAAGAAGGAATTACTAAATCACATACATTAGTCACAATAAAATAAAGGGAAAAAATGAGCCTCGAAACTTAAATTATTTTGCTACTTTTTATTAAAAAGAAATATGACGGTACAATTGCCTCCTAGCGCATTAGTCTTGCAATGAACTCCTACTACTGATTTGTAGATAGCACTGGAAGCAAACTGAGGCAACTTTGCGTTTCTTAGAGTAATGAGAGGCAAAAAGCTTAAATGAAGGAGTGCTGTTAGTCATGAGCCACAAACCAGACATATAATTTATGACTGAAAATACTTGGAAAATGCATTTCCTTGATGATGGAGAAATTGTGATTATTTAGAAAGTAGGAGCTGCAGAGGTTACCTTTAAGAATCAACCAATTATCTAGAATGGGAAGTAAAGAATTGGCCAATTGAAAGAAGCCCATAATTGATTGAAATGGCTAAGTTTCATTTTTGCCATGTTTATAATGTCCAATCAAGACTGCCAAGAAAAAAAAAAAAAAAAAAGACTGCCAAGAATACCTTGCTCCTTAATAGGATTACTAAGACTCTGGAGGGTGCAAAAGAACATTCGGTGTGAATCAGAAGTTGCTGTGGTGCATGAGAGTGCATTGTGTAGGCGTACAGAAATGCATTTCAGGCCCCATTGGGTTTTCTATCCAGTGGCTCTCATATCTACATCTTGAGAAATTTAAAAACTGGTTGACAGTTATCCAGGTCCGGTGGTAGAAAGGCAGAGAGGCGACTCAGGCGATCCGGACTGTGCTGCTAATTTATTTGGAGATTGTTAAATGGTGGACTTTTTGAGGCTATGTGTCTGTGTGTCCTCCGTGCCTAACCCTGCCTTGTGACTGTTTTGAATTTACCAGTATGTGTCTTAAGCATGACCATGGTAATTCCTGCTTGTAGCCACAGCACGTCTGTTATGCAAAGCATATGGATCTTCCTTCAATCAGCAACTCAGAAAGTGTCGCCAGTGAACTCAACCTTGAACTGTCAGCTGTGCAGTTCCGCTCACAAGTCCCTCTGAGACCATTGCTCTGTGAGGAAGCTAGTCGAAGGGAGTTGACACCCCTTCATTCCTCCAAGTTATCCCAGCTCTGGCCCTGTGTCTTTTGTGCACAGGAAAACCCCACACCTGGAGCTATTAGCTTAGCCCCCAAACTCCACGTATAGATACGCCTTCACTGCGTTAGACTTTAATGTAATGCTCTTTTTTTAGTCATCATAAGAAAAAGCCACATGAAGAACATCTTTGCATCTTCTGTAACATTGGTGCTGAAAAATTGTTTTATTGTTAAAAGGTTCTTTTTTAAAAAGATTTATTTATTAGAGAGAGAGAGAGAGCAGGGGGATGGGCAGAGGGAGGGGCAGAGGGAGAGGGAGACAATCTCAAGGAGACTCCACACTGAGCGAGGAGCCCCACATGGGGCTCAAGCTCACGACCCATGAGATCATGACCTGAGCCAAAACCAAGAGTCGGATGCTTAACCGACTGAGCCACCCAGGTGCCCCATGTTCAAAGGTTCTGATAACTGAACAAATGAGAAGAATTCCTTTTTATATTTTAGTATCTGGCAACCATTTGTCTTATTTAGTAAATTAAGATAGGCTTCCTTCCATCAGACAAAGAGAAGTCAGTAAACTATGAGTTTTTCCTTTTTGCCTTAGCTACCAGGAAGCTCAAAGTTCAATTTAATGTTCAATCGTGGTAACTAAGTCAGCCTGACTTTTGCTTTTCTATTTATGTACCTTTCACTCCAAGCTATTGCAAAGCCTTTATTTTGATATAGGTAGGGTATGAATGATATTTGGATTCTATTCATGTCAGCAACAATTTTTTGAGTATCTGATATGCACCTAACGGTGCTCAGTCCTGAGGATATAAAGGTGAACAAAAGGTGGTCTCTGACCTTTAAAAGCTCATAGCTTTATGCAGGAAAAGAAATTACTGTAGTATACCCTATATGGTAGGAGGTTGATTTTCTAGATGTATTCAGAGAACTTTTAATTTTCCTCTAATTTTATTTATGTAGGCACAGTTTTAGACATTGGCCAGTTTAGAAGTTTTCCTAATTTCAAACATATTTTAAAACCTAGAGATGGGGAAAAAAAATCTTAGCATGCATTGGAAACCCAGATCATTATAACAGTAGAAATAAATGAAGAGACATTCAAACCTAACCAAGGTTCTCTCCACTGAAGAAAAGATGAGCACGTCCCTTTTATTTACTGCTGAACAGGACCAGGAATGTGACTAGCTTGCTTGCAAGCAAATGAGTCATAAGGTTCTTGAGTCTTGATTACAGTTGACCTGGAGAGAGTGAATTATTTGTCAGGACTTTGAGATATTATCCTGGTCTCTTTGACATCTCAAGGCAAGGTTCTGATGCTGTAGGGCTCAGTTTCAGTGGAAGCTCAATGAACTTTCAGTGGAAGTCCAGTAAGCTCTCAAGGAAAGTTCAGTCAGTTGAACTTTGAGCTTCCTGGTAGCTAAGGCAAAAAGGGAAAAGTTCTTATAGAATTCTCTTTGTGTGAGGGAAGGAAGCAACATCCAAATTCATGAAATGAGGAAATGAGATGGTATAAAACAAAGGCATTTAGCATGGGAAATGAAATGGTGTCATCTTCCCCCTTGCTGGGTCCGATCCTTGAAGATAGCCAGGTATTAGTGTTCATTAGGCCATCATCTGACCCAAGAGGTAAAGAGACCTGTTTGAGGGGCCAGAACAACTCTGTAAGTATTTAAAGCTTGCATTAAATTCTTTGTTTACGATTTTATTTATTTATTTGACAGAGAGAGGGGGAATCACAAACTAGGCAGAGTGGCAGGCAGAGGGAGAGGGAGAAGCAGGCTCCCCGCTGAGCAGGGAGCCTGTTGTGATGTGGGACTCCATCCCAGGACCCTGGGAACATGACCTGAGCTGAAGGCAGACACTTAACCGACTGAGCCACCCAGTGCCCCTAAAGCTTGCATTAAATTCTTACTGGGCCCTCAGCATGATGAAATCTCTTTGTTTTGAATTAAGGGACTGAACAGGAGGGAGACTGGGTTTGGCTGCTACCCAAATGGTTGGTCATACACCACTGTCAAAGGAGACCGCTCTATGCAGAGTTTATTCTCGCCTTGGCTGAAGAGTAATTTGTGCCATTAAAATGGACAAACCTAGGGATTTTCAGGGAATAAAAGTGATTTCTACCCATCTCTATCTATTAAATAGGTCTTTCAAATATACTTCTGAAAATGGAGCGATTATTCAGCTGAGGATTATATGGAATGTTAATTGTTTAATCACTGCTTTAGCACCAAGGTTGCATGTGATGCAATATCAGATGTTCTTGTGGATAAGAAAGCTGAAACAGACATTGGATTTCTAAAATTCCCCACCTCCAACAGGACCCTTGTAGCATATATTGACCATACTTTTCTGTAATCTCTAGAATCCTATTTCCCTCACTGCCCTCATTTCTTTGGAAATGTCTTATATGATTTCACACATGCTATGAGTTGGATACTGCATACAGTACATGGAGATCATGTTAACAACGAGACCAAGGTCACCAGTTTGATTCCCTCTCTGCTTGCTCCTTCTTGGTATCCTTTGCCGGCTCCTCTTCTTTTCTCGGTCGCTTATAGGTTGATGTTCCCCAGGGTTGCCCCCTGAGCCTGATCTTCTCATTCTGTATTTTCTTTCTCTGGGTGATTTCATCCATTTCCAGCACTTCCTCCATTCATCTGCACACTTCCATCTTCACATACAGAGAACAGCACACAGCCAGACAGCCTAGGTTGAGACTGAGATCCCAGACTTGGATAGGCACACTCCCTGTGGATGCCAGGAGCTTGGGCTGGGTTAAGGGCATGTGAGAGATCTGAGAAGTTAAACATCTATCTTCAAGTGGAGGCTATATCAGTGGGGAAGTTGTCACCCCTTCCTGTGCATGGAGAGAAGGCCTATGGCCCCCGGGGACCTAGAGGCTACATAGGGTGGGCATCTTCCCCATCCAGTGGTCCCAGTGCTGCATGGCTCCGTGGAGGCTAGTAGCCTTGTCTTATCGCAACATCTTGGGCCAGAATAGTGCAGCCTAAGCACAAAAAAAGTCCTTTGCCCTTTCGAATCCAACAGCTTGTTTTGAGAACCCCTTTGGCAGGTACAGGGAATAATAAAAAGTCAGTTTTGAAGATGAACAGCTGAGCTTTCGTCAAAGTCATTTCCGAGCATATAGCTACCCACCATTTTCTAGTTATGAAAGCCGTGCTTTCTGTATTACAGAAACCCATGCAGCAACTTAATTATTTGAAGAACAACCACAGCCATTTTTAACAAGATTAGTATTTCCTACAGGGGATGATATAGCTGGTCTGTTGATTGCCCATAGAATGATTTAGTTGCCAACATCACTTTGGAAATCTGGCTTTGTTTTGATTTATGTAAGCAACAGTTTAAAATTCTTGAATAAATTTTTCTAAATCATTGAAAAGACACAGGAGAGCTTGAGTCAGTGTTGATGAACAATTGCACCATTTCAAAGTAAACAAGTATGAATCATCAATACGTAGACACAGTTGCCCCCAGAATATGTGGGCAGACACCAGTAATTTATACAGTCCTTTGATTAAAAGGAATTAGATTCGCTTTAGTCATGTTAGCTCAATTAGGTGTTGAGCTTTTCTAAACCAATATATTCATGATTGCACAATTTCACTGACTTCCTGATCCAATGGGCTAAGCCTTTTTCATGGTATAATGTGGCGCAAAGGGCTGACGTATCAAAAACAAATATAAGTCGAACGTTCCATTACAATTCCAGTGATCACTAAGCTGAAGTTGTTCATCACAATATGGAGTGTAACTGTTCAGCTCATCTGACCTAAAATAAGTTACTTTGCTAATAAAATTCATAAGTGACGTAATTTAAAACTTTCTCCCAATGAGCATGTTTAAGGGCAGGCCAGGGAGTATACAGACGTTAATCACACAGCTCATTCCATGAGGCTCTTTCAATAGTGTTATTGATTTTTTTTTTCCTACATAGCACATGAAAAGTATGAAATTATATGGCAGCATGAGAATTTTAAAGAACCCTATATGCTAGTCTACTTAGGACATCTGTTTGAAACATTAACATTAGGAAACACAAACCTATTCATTCTCTCTCCTCCCACCCCCATCTTTTTGTTATTTTAGACAAACAAAGGGGATGCACTTGCCAACCGAGTCCAGAACACGCTGGGAAACTATGATGAAATGAAGGATTTGCTAACTAACCATTCTAATCAGAATCATCTAGTGGGGATCCCAAAGAATTCCGTGCCCCAGACTCCCATCAACAAAAACGAACCGAGCTTTTTCCCAGAACAAAAGAACCGAATGCTCCCACCTCACCAGGATAGCACTCACCCCTCGGCACCAATGCCTCCACCTTCCGTCGTGATACTGAATTCCACTCTCATACACAGCAACAGGAAATCAAAAGCTGACTGGCCACGCGATAGTCATAACGCTAGTGTTGTCCCAGCCAGCCAGGCCAGTGGTCAGCCAAACAAGCTGCCGCCATCTACACAGGACCAGCCCCCAGCCCGACTGGAAGACTTCTTTGTCTACCCAGCTGAACAGCCCCAGGTTGGAGCCGTTGAAGAGTCAGACGCTTCTGCAAAAGAAGACAGTAGTCTCAAGTCCAGTGCAGGGGATACGTTCAAGGAAATCTTTCAGTCCATCTCACCAGAAGAATCTGAATTTACAGTGCAAGCTCCTGGGTCTCCCCTAGTTGCCTCCTCTTTGTTAGCTCCCAGCAGTGGCCTTTCGGTTCAGAACTTTCCACCAGGGCTTTACTGCAAAACAAACATGGGGCAGCAAAAGCCAACTGCGTATGTCAGACCCATGGATGGCCAGGACCAGGCACTGGATGTCCCTCCGACACTGAAACCTTCCATTGAATTTGAGAACAGCTTTGGGAATCTGTCATTTGGATCACTCTTGGATGGAAAACCCAGTGCAGCCAGTTCAAAGCCTAAACTGCCAAAGTTCACGATTCTCCAAACAAGTGAAGTAAGTAATTTTTAAAGTTTTGTTTTGTTTCTTTTTTTTTTTTTAGTTCACTGCTCTAACCTTTATAATCAAGTATTCACAAGCAGCTCTTATTTACCTTCTTGAGCCATAGATGAGATACTTCAAGGTCAGAGTCTGAGTCTCGATCTTCTGTCGCTTGTGACTTGACTGATTACCATTCTGCAAATACAGTTAAATCTCCATAACGTGGAATGGCAACAGACAAGGTCAGTCTGAGTGAATGAAAAGTTGCACTTAGAAAATAGTTTCGGGGAGTGCACTTTTAGTCATATATACAAATTAAATAGCACTGGAGATTATAATTGGTCGTGAGCAGTGTGAGGTCCAGGAAGAGATTGGGAGTCACCATAGGCCTTCACTAGCAAATAGCATCTCATAAGCATAAAACACAGAAGCTCCTTAAGGTACAAGAATGTAAAAGTGTGATTTGCTGGCATTGGAAGTGGAAGGCATTCTTTAAGAATCTTAGTTTCTTGAATGCTTGCGGGGCCATTCCTTGGCAAGATCCTAACGTTATCTTCCACATCTCTCAATCTTCCCTTCTGTACCGTGGTCTTCCACAGATACCTCCATAACCCTCTTAGACTACCTTGATCCCTTCTGTCAAAGCCAAAGGCATTGTGCTCAACCACAATCCCACTGGGTTTAGAATGACTAAATGTCCTACCCATCTCAGGAATCATTGCCTTATAAAAGAGAAGTTGGAGGGACCCAAGCCTCTCCCAAAGGAGTGAATCGCTAATGATTGGATCCCAGGCCTTATGGCTCCTGGGTGGGGGACATGTATTGGGTGCCCCTCAGATACCACCATGTAAGCGGCTGCCTACTGCACCTCCAGCGCTTGATTGGAAGAAGCCACTGCTTTTAGATTGGATTCCTGTTACTGGTGCCTAAAGGCTTGAAAAGACACAGAGGAAGAAAGTAGGTTGAAATTCTTACTCAATAGGAGGCACAGACAGTCAGTGTGAATTGTTGCAGATTCCAAGTTAGTGGTGTCTGAATTAGAGAAGTCTGACCATGTTCACCTCTGGCTCTCGCACCGTTACTCATTATTCGTTACTCGTACTCAGCGGACACGGTGATGGCGGAGGACGATGGGACCATGAAGGGAGGGAGGAGCAGGGCTGCTGGTTGTATTTTCGGAATGCATGCTTTTCATATCGTTTCATCTCTGAGGTGGTTTTGCTTCTTGTATCATCATTCATCAAGTCTTGTCAAGCTTCCTCCTAAGTATCTCTCCAGCCTATCACCTCTCTACCCTCCCCGCCTTCGGAGCGCCCGTGGGCCCCTATGATGGCCCCTTCTCTCTGCTCTCCCTCCCTCTGGTCTCACCTCTCTTCCAAACCATCCTCCATCCGGGCTGACCTAATGGGCAGATCCAGCCATGTCACTCCCTGCTTTGGATTCTTCCGTGCCGTCTCATTGCTTCCCGGACACGGTCCAGATTTCTTAGCCCCGCATACAAAGCTCTTCACTCTGATTCCATGCTCCTTCTCTGACTTCCCATTTCACCATTTCTTCACATGCAGATGAAGTTCCAGCCACGTGGAGCTACCTGTGGTTCCCCGTCATGTCATGCGTTATCACGCTTCCTTGCTTTTGTGCCTGCCGTTCTCTCATCCTAGAACCTCTTTCCCTACCCTCCCTTGTCTTTTGGTGAAGTCCTGTTCCTCCTTCAAGTTTCCTCGATTGTCCCTTTCTCTGTGAAAGCTTCCCTGACTCCACCAGGCTTACCGCAGACTGCTTCCTCCGGGCTCCTCTAGCGCCTTATGTACACCTTGACTGGCACTTACTTCATGTACTGTAGTCACTCGTGTATGTGTCTGTCTCCTCTATTAGACTGTGAGCTCCTGGAGAGCAAGGAACGTGTCCTTCTTCTCTGTATCCCGAGCGCCTAGCAAATGCCGGCACATAGTAGATACTTAATAAATGTTTGTTGAATGAATGAAGTTCAGAAATGGTTACTCGAGTACATTTTCTAAGCCATGGTGTTAATCAACTAACATGAACCAAGGTAAACAAATGCTAGAAAATCCATCATCAATTATATCTCTTGAATGGTACCCCATCTGCCTGTGTCTTACTCTGCTCTTCTGCACAGTTGTTTGGAAATCCTCATCCTAATTTCCACTGGATGACTTCATATGGGATTGTAATGCTTAAAATCCAAACAGAAGCCTGCCTCGAGAGAGGAGTATAATGAGAGGCTGGGATATCATTCTTGTCCCTTCTCTTGCGCTGGTGTCTATGGCACTCAGGGCTGGTCTGGGAATGGCACTGGCCCATCAAGAGGTCTGTCAGCCTGCGTCCATACCTTGTTAGCCGAGTGACAGGTCACAGACCCAGTGAGATTCACTCCGTTGTAATTCTCTCTCTTGTACATTCACAATATGGCTGACCCAGATTCAGAAACGACTTCATGCTTTTTTTTTTTTTTTTCTCAATGCTCTGGCACACCAGTGAGTGGTACATTTCCAAAGAGGATCTGAGCTGTCTTCAACTCTGGAGATGATGATCCAAGGAGCCGCCTGTGTGCACGCAGCCTTTGGTGATGGTACAGATAGACTTTGGTAGAGCCTTGTACAAAAAAATGGGTCAAGTGCAGTAAAGTCATGATGAGAGATCAGTGGAGAGAGTACTTATCTTAAAATCTGGGTCTCAAGGAAGGATTTGAAAGAGGGGTGGGACAGAAGCTTAGGGCCCTAAAGTCAGGAGAACATACTGCCTTCAAGGGTAATGGGAAAACTGAGGATAGGCCGAAAGGAAGCGAGAGGTCCCACAGCCTGCCCGGGAGCTTACAAGGGTGTAGATTAAAACGTGGGCATAAATATAGACAGGGTGGAGCGTTATGGAGCTTTGCACCTAATGGAGTTTATGTGGCTGAAACTCTGACCAAGTCGGGAAATTCACCCTATCAAATCTTGATGCACTCTTCAAAAGCACTTAGCATGAGAAATCAGCCCCAGTCCCTGGCGCCGAGAGGTCTAGGCATTGGGTTCTGGGTCCCCAGTCAAAGTAGCCATCATTGATGAGTGGTAGCATTATTCCTTGGAGTTATTGCTAAAAGGACTTGTCCAGAGAGCAGTCACGGGGTCTCTGTGAGTATTCCCCACTCTGTCCCTGGCTTTAGTGAGAGAGGCCGGCCCGTGTGTTAGTGAAGTGCATTTGGGAGTGGGGGGGGGGCGGGGGCTGAATGACTAGAAAACAGCATTCTACGATACGAATATACTTGTGAGTTGAGAGACATGAACTGTTACTGAAATGGAATGAGCGTGTGCGTGTGCCCACATTTGCTTGTGTGTAGAGTGGGGGAAATTTTAATTATGGCCCATCCTCGAAACATTTCCTTGCCTCTTAGAATTTCTGTATCAATGATAAGAATTCTAGGAGTCTAACCGACTTTATTGCAAAAGGTCAGCTTTTCAATTGAAGCATGCGTTTGGAACAAACTAACTCATTTAAAAACTTAGTTTTACAGAATTTACTAACATTCCATGCAACCCCGCCCTCCCCAAAAAAAGACTGATGTGTTCTGCAGTTGAGCTTAGAAGAGTTTTCTGGGAACTGCATCTGAAAACAGTAAAAGACCTATTTATATCAAGTGGAAACTGAGGGTAGCTTACAGATGGTATTTTATTAGGAAATGAATTTGTTAATAAATGTAGCTTTATATGTGATTTCATGACATATGTTTTTGCTTACGTTTTTCATTAGGATAAAAATCTTTTGGTGTGGCTAGCTTTGCATTTGGGTGCAATTCGTTGGTAGGATTGTTTGGGAAGTAAATAATTGCATGGAAATGAAAGGATTGATGACAGGTAGTAAGTATTTCCATTCTAGGTCAATAAGCTTTCATAAGTACAATACTAATGGGTGGAGTGCCATCACCATACAGGATCATTTGCCTTACAAGCTGCTCTTGGCTGTGACCTAAGGCTATCTCAGGCTCCGATTGCCTCAAAATTAGGAGTCTCTTAGAAGAGTTTAATGGAACTGATACGAATGATGGGACCTGGCTTTAGCTTATTTTAGTGGCTGGCTTTGTCAACCAGCTAAAAAGTTATGGCCCACATTTGTGACTGTGCCCATTTGGGTTTGTATCCTGTGCAGTGAACACCATGGATATAATTAGCTTTATTTACGATGAGGTAGATAGGAAGCCCAAGTCCCTTGTGTGAGAACAGCAGAGAATGCCGGGAGCTTGGCATTCGTGTGCTGGATATGCCCAGGCAGCTCCGCAGAGACCACAGAGACCACTCCTTCAGAGAACGGAAATGAACTAGTATCCAGTCCAAGGCTAGAACAGGTCTTATTCCCACCCCATCGGGAATAAATGAAGATACCCCTGGAAGTCCTCCCCCTTTCAGGGTGCTGCAGAGGTCTTGACCTTAGCACATACTCCCTGGAAGTATGGGGTCCAGAAAGCTTTGTAAATCCTCTGCCAGTCCATTGCCTAGCGGTTGCTTTTTGATTTTGCTCTTTGACTAACCCTTCCAACCGCACAGTGTCACGGGTGTTAAAAGTTCGTTTTCCTTACCACACCTCTTCATCCCCCTGTAACTGTAGTGTCTCCCTCAGCTGACTGAAGTGACCCCAGTCGAGCCTCTGGAAAGGAAAGCCGGGAATACAGATAGAACACGGAGCCTTACATTGTTTGTGACGGAGAGGTCAGAGGTGCTGCTTGATTAGGAAGGGCGTCTTGCTCTGGAGACATCAGCTTTTCCTCTCCGTGCTTTCCCAAGGCTCTTTCTGGTTCTCAACCATGCTCTCCTTCCTTGGTGCCCCTGCTCCATGCTGTCCCTCACCCTCCATTGCTCATTAGCAATAGGCTGACTGAGGAGTAGAGCTCAACTTGGGCTTAGTAAAGATCTTGCAGATCCCCGGGTTTTTGTTTGTTTGTTTGTTTTGTTTTGTTTTTTCCTTCTCATTTCCTCAAGTCCTATTCTTTAGCATCTGTATTTTCTTTTCTAAGGCTGGAT